ACACAGCGTCAACTTGGTGTCAGACATGTGACCCACAGAAAACAACACAAGGATGGACGAGTGGAAATAAAGATATCGATAATTGTATTAAAGAATTTCAACTTAAAGCTACAAAATATGAAGATGTAATTGAATGGATTCCTTTTAATAGAATAGATAATATTCGAAATTATGGCAATAAATTTTTAGCAACTTGGTTAGATGGTGTACGATACGTATGCGAATTTGAAATTGAGGATAGATGTAAATGTAAACAGTCACGTACACCATCATGCATAGTAGAGCTTAAAGTTTTTAGTTCACAAAGCTTATTGTATATGTTAAAGGAAGTAAGTTAAAATATTTAATTATCATATTAATGCACAGTATATCTGATATAGCTTTTTTTAATTTATATTTACATGTTTAATAAGTTTACAGATTATGTAAAATTAAAAAATAGCGATTTCAAAGTATATGGACTGACTCAAAACGACACAACAAATGAATATATGTTGGTATTTGATGAATTTGGTTCTGAAAGAGATGAAGACTATGGAAAATGTACAAATTACAACCTATATAATACATCACCAACTTGGTGTCAATTATGTGACCCTCAGAAAATAACACAAGGATGGACAAGTGGAAATAAGGATATCGATAATTGTATTAAAGAATTTCAACTTAAAACTACAAAATACGAAGATGTAATCGAATGGATTCCTTTTAATAGATTAGTTAGTATTCAAAAGATTGGTGAAGGATTTTTAGCAACTTGGCTTGATGGAATACGTTATGTAAATTATAATAATGAAGCTGAATATGGATATAGATATACACAGCTACGTACACCATTATACATGGTGGATCTTAAAATCTTTAGTTCACAAAACTTATTATATATATTAAAGGAAGTAAGTTAGAATATTTAAATTACCATATTAATGATAGTTTACAGCTTTATTTTAATTTATATTTATATTTTACATGTTTAATAAGTTTGCAGATTATGTACAGTTAAAAGGTAGCCATTTAAAAGTACATGGACTTACTCAAAACGACACAACAAATGAATATATGTTAGTATTTGATGAATTTGGTTTCGAAAGATATCAGGGTCATGGAAAATGTGCAAATTGCAACCGATATAATACTTCTGAAGGTTGGTGTCGAACATGCGACCTTCAGGAAATAACACAAAGATGGACAAGTGGAAATAAAGAAATCGATAATTGCATTAAAGAATTTCAGCTTAAAACTACAAAATATGAAGATGTAATCGAATGGGTTCCTTTTAATAGATTAGTTAGTATTCAAAAATTTGGTGAAGGATTTTTAGCAACTTGGTTAGATGGAGTACGATATGTAAATTTAATCAAACATGGTGAATATACACGGTCACGTACACCATCAAGCGTAGTTGAGCTTAAAATATTATCAGGTTCTCAGAATTCAATGGATTTTTTAAAAGAAGTGAGTTGAATTTGGTTTTATTTTTTTATAGCGCTCAATTTCAATTTATTTAAGAAAATATATTTTATAAGTTTAAAGATCTCATACAATTAAAAAATAGCGATTTCAAAGTTTATGGACTAACTCAAAACAACACAACAAATGAATATATGTTAGTATTTGATGAATTTGGTTCCAAGAGACGTGATTGGAATGGAAAATGCGCAAATTGCAACCGATATAATACATCAGAAACATGGTGCCAGACATGTGATCCTCAAAAAGTAACGCAAGGATGGACGAGTGGAAACAAGGATGTCGATAATTGCATTAAAGAGTTACAGCTTAGAGCTACGTGGAGTTATGTAGATGTGATCGAATGGATTCCTTTTAATAGGTTAGATAACATTCAAAAGATTGGTGAAGGGGGATTTGGCTCTGTGTATTCAGCAACATGGTTAGATGGTAAAAGGACACTCTTGCGCGATGATGTATTTGGCACATACACACAATCACGTGCACCATCATGTATAGTTGCACTTAAGACATTTTCTAATTCACAAAAGAATTTTTTAAGAAAAGTAAGTTAGGATGATTTACATATGACCTAATATAAATAATTTACTAACTTTATAAATTATTTAAAAGTTTAAAAGTTATACAGAACTTAGATTGGTTGGTAATAATCTTGAGGTGTATGGACTAACTCAAAACACAACCAATAATGAATATTTGATAGTATTTAAATATGCAAACAAAGGAAGTCTTCGTAAGTTCCTATTATCAAATTTTAGAGATCTTAATTGGAGAAATAAAGTAACGCAACTTGTTAGTATATCATCAAATTTAATCTCAGTTCACTGTGCAAATTATGTTCATGGAAATTTTCACAGTGGTAATATATTGCTAAATCAAAATATCGATGATTATCTAAAGTATTTTATCTCAGATCCAGTATTATTTAGAAATAAATATGAATCTGATTTTGAGGATAGCATTTACGGCGTTTTACCTTATGTTGCCCCAGAAGTGATACATAAACGACCATATACAATAGCGGCAGATATTTATAGTTTTGGTATTATTATGACTGAAATGTCTACAGGAAGACCACCTCATTATAATACTGAGTATGATGAATCATTAGCTATTCAAATATGTAATGGATTACGTCCAGAATTTGCTAAAGGCACTCCTGAATGCTATATCCAATTAGCAAATTTATGTATGGATGCTAATCCTTCTAGCAGACCATCCGCAAGTGAAATAAATAGAGAATTGCATAAATTTTATCATGTATTAATTAACAATAGTGCAGATGATGACAATGAATTAGCAATATTAAAAGCATTTCAATTTGCAGATGCAATTATTCCAACATTATCAACTGAATTGCCAATTCATCCTAACGATAAACTTACAAGTAAACCGCTCAATTTCAATAAACTTCCTAAGCCAATTAATTCGTTTATTTAACCTGTAATATCATGGTAAAACAAATACTATCATTATATTGTGATTGATTTTTTTATTGATAAAATTTTAATTACTTTTAATTTTAGATTCTGCTAACTGTGATTTTCAATTTCTGGCGATTTTTGTGATAATATTTTACGTATGTACTAATAATTTTACCTGCTGATTTTATATTAGTAAGAAATTTATTATATATTTAACTGCTTTGATCTTTGCATAAAGCAATGATTCTGTAAATAATTGAATAGATTTTATTCAAAATTGGATTTATTGAAACTAAAGATGAAAATTATTTAGTTAAATTTAACAATTTATTCAAAAGTTTATAAACATTAACATTTTTTAAGATCATATCGACTTATTATTATAAATTATATATAGATATATATATATTTAAAAAATTAACCTTTCTTAAATGTATTTAATATAAAGGTGTTGATTTGCAGATACTTTAAGATTAGAGTGATATCAAAATTTGAAGAATTTTTTTTAAATAAAATAATTATATTTGGAAGTTTCATCCCCGTAGCTCATTCATTGGATAAGCTCCTAGTGTTTTACATTATATTTATTTAATATAATTACTGTAATTTAGTTGGTAAAAATTACAACCACTTATTTTTCGTTTAGTTATTCAAGCTCAGAATTTACTTGTGTTTATGTTGTAGGTGGTTACGGGATATTTGTGAATTCGGAATCAAATTAAGTTGATTCTGAATTCACTTAAGTGGATTTGAAATCTCAATATGACTTGAGTGGAAATTGAATATGTAAAGCAAACAACCAAAGCCAATTTTATTATACAACTTTATTAAATAAAATAAGCTTATTACTAGATAAATAATTGAGGAATATAGTCATATTGACTTCTAATCTAAAAAAAAAAAGAGTATGTATTAGTATTTATTATACAATTAACAATTAATTAAATATGTATTTTATAAAATTTAAACATCCACATTTTGAACACTTCATGTTTAAAATGCCCATATGAACTTTGCACAAAGATGATTAAAAGGGCATATGGTATGTATTGTATCCAATCAATTTTTATTTTTTGCAATCATGATTATTTGAGTATTTGGATTAGTCTCTCAGTTCCAATTCTTGAAGCTTAAAAGAGTTTTTAATCCAGTATCGATCCTTTCAAGTCCTTAAGTTTGCCATGAAGTACTGCAATAATAAGTTTTAATTGGTTTGTGAAATGAAGGTTTTACAATGCTTATTTAAAGTTTTTTCTTCAAGATATTTATTAACCAGGTTATTAAAACTTGTTTTGATATTCTTCTTGGGTTTACATTTTGGAATAAGAATCTTTGTATTATTATTGTTCATCATAGAACCTATTCCTTTTATCAAACAAATAACTTCTATGGCTAACAATACATCTTTAACTATCAAGAAGAATAATATGGGATAAGGCTGCTAAACAAGCCAGCTAGTATCATGCTAGTCTGAAATTTGCACTCATGCTCTAGGTGTGGTGGGAGTAGTGATAGAGATTCTACCAAATTTTTATGATTTTACCAGTAGCTACTGGTAGGTGGTAGCTACCGGTAGCTACCACTACCAGTAGATCTACTAATAATGAATTTGATTGGTCAGCCTAACAAAAAACTTTATGTTAATATTGGCCAGATTTAAATAGTTAAACGGTTAAACAGTTAATACAGATAAACAGTTAAACTGTTGGAAGATTTTAGGTGGTTCAATTTCTACTATTAGTGGTCATATCTGGTTAACATTTAATTTAAAAGGTTAAAACCTTTAATAAAATATAATAACTGGTATATAACCTAGCTAAATTGGTTCAAGATCCTACAAAGCATTCTTACCCGAATCATATATATACTAGTAGCTCAATCAGATCCAGACTAGTTTGTGAATGGACCAAACCTGAGCAGAACCCGAATATGTTTAAAAGTTTGACATCAAACCAAATTCAAACTGCTTTTTACATTGGTCCAGTTTGGGTCCAGTTCGAAATTTGAACTCAAACCTGAACTTACCCAAAGTCTGGTTCAGTCCAGGTCTATTGGAGCCCTATGTTAATCATAATATATAATATTATATATTATTATTATTGAACCATGTCCAATATCCAGGTTCAATGTCCAGACCCAACACTGGCTATACTGTATAAGTTTTATATGATTGAAATCTGTTTTTTCTTGATATTACTCATATGTTAGTATGTGTTATATTTTAAGTTAACTATAAGTTAACTGGATCATAAATATTAATCTGTTAATAATCTTTTAATCCTGTTATCTAGATAAGCTAGTTATCATAATTTAGATATGACTATTATTACTATAAATGGCTATATATGTCGTGCCTCAGATCAATTCTTGCGTCAGATTAAAACCGGCCTAAGTTAGATTAGGGTTAGGGTAAGAATCTGGGAAGGATTTGGGCTTAATTTAAGTCAATCAATATCGATCAGTTAATGCGGGCCAAAAAGTTGACATCTGACGCAAGCATTAATCTGAGGCACAACATATATAAGATACTTCTGAATAGTAGACCACTGGGTACTGTATGTGTGCAGATTTCAGAATTTTCTTGATTAAAATTCAAACATCTAAATTGCATATTACAAATGCAAAGTGTGTATATATTTCAAATTTTTACTTTTGATGATACAACTCTCAGCCATATACTGGACCTGGGTCTACTATAGTTTTAAAATTAGTAGAATGTAACAGACCCAAGTCTTTTATATAGTCGTTTATAGTATTATTAAATCAAATCTTAACTATTAAACTGATTAATTGTATCTAATTAATAAATATTATCTGTCGATTATTAATAACAATATATTTGAAATTGTGATTTTTTTAAAAAATTGCTACTACTTAGCAAATATTATAAATTTAGTGAAATAGATAAATCTTATATATAATTATAGTGCAATATTAATTTGCAAAATTTGAAATATATAAATAGCAAGATTGGATGTTTTGGGCATTTTTACACCATATCCATATTATATGGTAATTCATAAATTTACATTCCTGGTTTTACATAACAGCATCATGCAGCTACCTTATTTTATATTATCATAAGATCTTTATTTAAATACAAGTAATTCTTATACTCACCAATAAAATAAGATTAAAATAGTAAACAGTTTATTTTAAATACTTAGTTTAATAAAAAAAAATTAACATGATCAAAATAATAAATAGTTATAAATTTGAATAGCTTATTTTATACAAATATTCTATATTTAATACAAAACAACTAATAGGAACTCTTCTCGTAGATCACTTTACCAAAATTGAAACAAGAAGAAAAACTTTCTCGCAAACTTTTCTCGAAAACTTACTAAGTAAATTGATATTCGGCTCTTAAGTAAAGTTATTCAGCACCTCCAAAACTACCTAAAAGAGGTACAATTTTTATTAAAAGGCTCCACCACAACAAGCTAGTAGCAATAAACACCCAAAATGGCAACAACCCAGTTTTTCAACCCTTCCGCAAAAGCGGTTCTAAGGACCCCTATATTTCAACTAACCAGAAACAAACTACAAGTAGTGCTCTTAGCAAAAAAAACAAAAAGCAACAAGTACCTTACTCTATCAAGCCCCAAAATCTCAACCAAAAAATGGCCTCAGAAAGCTTCTCCTCTTACTTTGGATTTTTTTTCAGACTACCAAACCTGTGCAACCTGAAGACACCTCCACTATTAGCTCGCCTCCAAGCTCTGGTGTAAAACACACAAAAAATTTTTAAATATCGCTATGAAGGACTGGTCAAAACTCATTTTTACTGTTAGCTTCTTTATTCCTGAATACGCTGACACTTTCGCCTTCTCTGTCAATAATACCAAATCCGGAAAGATACCCAACTTGGTTAACTACCTACCACAATGGATATACCAACATAATGATCTTGCCAAATCTGTTCTATTCGACCTCACATCACAAAAAAATAGTATTGTAAATATTAGTGCCAAATACCCCAAAGCTACCCGAAATAGTGACCTTGTAACAATTACAAACCTTTATGAAAGAAGCATGAAGCTATTTATGAAGGCTAAAAGCATAGAAAATCTTGCTGTAATCTCATACAATAGTAATACAGATCTTGACTCAGACAATGAATCAAACAGAAGTAACAATAAGCAGGTTATAAAAACATTAGCCTCTACCAATCCTAGCCATCCCCAAGACTCTGTTACAAGGCACACAATTATTAGCACAGACAACAATAACACAAACTCTACATCTGATACAAACAAACCCTCTAGTACTAAATCAACTAGTATTCAAAACACTAGTAGTACAAACAAGACCACTATATCCAGACCCAGTACACCTACTAACCAGATCACCCAGCCAGTACTTACCACACCTAACTTCAAGTATACCCCTGTAGCCTTATAGCCAACCCCAACACCAATCGTAAAAGACCTAGAAACTTATCTAATATTTCTCCACTTGCTACTACTTCGAATAAAGCTACTAAGGCTGTATTAGACAATACCTTAACTCCTATTAGAATACAAGCAAGTATGAAAATACCTACTACAAGATTGACATACAGCCAAGCTGCTTAAACAGATCTAAAGCTACTCAAGACTGATACCCCTAAAGATGAAATAGTGTGGGCTTCAGAAGTATACCTCAAAACTACTAAACCTATTGATACACCCTTTGACCCCTAAAGGCATTTATAACTTTACTAGCCATAAGCTTATTACTACTCCAACCAACTACAAGCTACCTGAAGCAATCGTCCTTAAATTTGCTCACCAGAATACTAGATTTTTCACAACATTCACACACAACCCAAAAACTACTCCGGCTCACCAGAAAGAATATAATGAGCTTTTCAACAATGCACTTGCAGCCTACAAACAAAATAATAAGATTACACTTACCAATATTACTACTCATAATACTATTTATACAATGCTTAGAACATGGCATATTGCCCAATACCTGTCAAATCTTAACTTTTCTAGAACTACATACAGAGGAATATGCAGTATTATCCTGTATGCTAGAGGCTTCTTAAAGATCAAGAATACCAGTGAGGAAACTCCTAAAGAAATCAGAGTACAGATAAACAAAGAACTAGAGAACAAGCTTATCCCACTACCTGATACACCAGAACAGATATCCAAAGAGGTTTAAGAGATCCTGCCCTTTGAACTTCCTATCAAAGTACGATCACACACTAGAGCTGTAGTTAATGCCCTAAGAAGAATCTACAAATTTTCTGAGCTCCCAGAGGCATACTTTGTCAAACAGCCCCTATTACCTTCTCATTACAATGAACTTCCACCTAGCCTGTGCCAACTATTTTCTATATCTCATAAATCTTCACTCCAATATCTTACTTTATACAAAATAAAGTTAGCAGATTCATATACCATTACTCAAATTCCGGACTCATACTTTGACCTGCCACCTCCTAGAAAACCCTTACCTACAACATACCAAGAGCTTAATCCAAAAGTTCGAAAATTCTTCCCCTTCAACCAAGCAACCTCTCTTATACCTTTAGCAGAAGTTATTTCTCAACTTAGAGAATTCTATACATTTAAACTTTTACAAAATAACTTTTTTACTGTCAAACCTCCTCTTCCTACAGAAATCAGCAAAATCAAAACTACTACGGCTTTCAAGTTTCTTATCACAGATGATACAGTGGCCAGAGAATTTATAAAACAAATTTATTCTCGTTATAGAGTCCAACTTCCACTTCCTACAGAAATTATGCAAGCCAATCCTACTAACAAACCTACTTTGCCATCTGCTGAAGAAATTACAAAACTATATAATATCCCCTTCCTAGTTACAACTAAACACCAACTTACATTTACAGCAAGACTACTCTGCAAGTATTACTACTTCAACTAGCTTCTCTTGAACTGAATACAAATTAATAACAGCCCTTTGGCTGATACTGAGAACACTGACCCAACCTGCAAGCAAGCTCTTCTCAATATTCCAGAAGATATAAAGGAAATTATTCAAACATTATCAAAACAAAAAATTATTGTCTCACTTCCAATCCAAAACCAACTAGATATTACCCCAACTATGAAAATCTTTAGATAGTTCTATACAGTTAAAAAAATCCCTAATAATTTGCTTGATCTTCCTCCTCTTCCTACCCAGCCTGAGGCATTTTTAGCTACACACCTACACCACCTAGTCCAACTACTCCAAGTACAATACAATCTTTCACAGAGGCCAAAACATATATTATATCTATAGAGGATACTAAAACCAATGCAAGCAACACTTCTCCACCTACCAATACTCCATCACTACCTTCAATCTTGGCAGAACAAAGCACACTCAACAATACTCAAAACATTACATTACCAGACAATTCAGATATCTCACTTCCAGTAGGCAACCTCGTGCCAATGGATACAAATAAGCACTCAAATGAGTTACTTCTATACTTGAATGAATAACCTCTCATACCCACCTACAAGCAACATACAAAATTCCAACACTAATATACTTCACCCTCTTACACTTTCAATTTGTATACATAATGTACAAGGTCTAAACACAGATATTAAAAAAGAAACATGGGAGCACTACTGTATACAGCACAACCTTGATATTGCTAGCTTAACAGAAACCAAACTCTTTAATGAAACAGTTCATTACAAGCAATGCAAAACTCAACATTACACCTACCTATGGTCATGCTTCAACAGCTCTCAAGCTGAAACTGCTATTATGATCCACAACCATCTAGCTCCTCATATTCATAAGATTACTACAGTCCCTGGCTATGCTATAGCAATAGACCTCTTTTTCAAGAATGACTTCAAGTTTCGCATTATATCTCTTTACCTACCTAGCAATAATGCACAGCTTAGACTCTAAACACAAAATACTATTATTCAATGGCTATAGCAAGCAAGAGCACAAAATATCCCCCCATCACTCTAGGAGACTTTAATATATCCACAAATGATATATACTCACAATTAATTAAATATAAACTCCTTCAATATCTAGTATACAATAACATATATAACTTGGCCTCACACACTCACAAATCAGCCCCTACTTGGCACAGAGCTAACCATAGCAGTGAAATTGACTATATTTGGGTCTATTAACCAATTCTCCAATATCTCACAGACTATAATACTGATAACTCAGATACTAATACATTAAGTGACTACAAGATTCTGATCTCCCGTTGGCTCTTTCCTTTTGCAACAACAGAACAATCTAGGCACAAAACTCAGACCAAGAGAAGAGTCTTTGACTACAAAGCTATGAACCAAGAAAAATAGGAAAACTTCACCAACCAGGTTGATACTAATCTACGCCAACACAACACACTATCTACAATACTGAACTCGGAAACCCTAAAGACTACCTGGCACAAGATTCACACAAGTATTATTACTGCAGCACTTCAGCATATTCCCAATAAAAAATTCACAGTCCGTAATTTCCAGTATACTTTTTCTTCTAAAGCAACCCAACTCCATTATAGCCTTAAGAAACTCAGTAATACTATTAGACAGGTCAAACACTCACTAAAATCCCAATGTTAGGCCCCTATCTAGCTAAATACTACAATTACTCAACTCAATCAATTACATGACCTCCAAATACCTTCCTCTCCTACGACACCCCAGCTCACTACCAACTGGCTAGTATTAGCCAATGCAAAGTAGAAGAAGCTATACCACGCACACAACCTAGCAAATTACTGAGACAATTTCTAGAAAATATACAAGACTTCAATCAAACCCTACATCAATGCTCAATAGTATTTTCAACTGCCAAAGAGACCCAGTAAGGTTCAGCAATATCAAGTTAGACCAAGAAGTTATCACTGATCCACACTCAATCAAGTCTCATATCCAACAACATTTCAATGACTGGACAGCCCTTTGCCCTATAAACCAAGAAATATTTAATGAACACTGGCAAGAAGAGTACTATCCCAAACCTCATATTCTATCTAACTGGTACTCTATAGCTCTCTCTAATTTCACTCAAAAAGAAGTACTCTACACTCTCAACCAGCTACCCAACAACAAAGCATGTGGGCCATCAGGAATAAGCTATGAGATGCTTAAACATGCAGACCCCAAGTTCATACAGGCTATAATAGTACTGCTAAATCGATGTCTCATCTCTCAAACAATCCCTAAGCAATGGAAGAAAGGAAGAATTTATCCAATTTTCAAGAAACCTATCTTTGATGGCAATCTATCTAATACTAGACCTATTAGTCTCATTGAACATATCAAAAAACTCTACACCAAACTTCTCATTAACCGTCTAAACAGCATTCTATTAGAACACAAAGTTCTTTTCCCTTTTAACTACATTGTACTTCCAGGCAACTCTACTTCTATTCCAATACATATTCTCAACAATATTATAGAGGATGCTACATGTAGCTCTAACCAGCTCTGGATTCTCTCACAAGACATAAGTAAAGCCTACAACTCAGTTAATCTCGACTTGTTCCAGAAGTCCCTTTATAGAATTAATATGCCTCAGCCACTTATCAATATTCTTACCAACCTTTTTACAGACTGTACAAATCGTGTAATTACCAACTTCGGACTCACAAGTCTTTACTCAGTACAAAATAGAATTGATTAAGGAAAAACTATAACCCCACTATTCTGGAGAATATACTATGATCCACTTATTGCAAATATATCATTAAACCTACCAGGTTATACTATGCAAACATCTTGGCAAACTAGTTTTACTTCACCCTCCTCTAAGTGCCTGTCTTGTTCAACTTCGGTACTTGCCTACATGAACGATACTTTGTGGATTGCCCAAACTAAAAAAAACCTAGAAAAAATAATACTTACTGCCTCATTCTTCTACAAAATAGCCAATATTCAGATTAATCCTTTCAAATCAGTCTTTATATCAAATCACCTAAATGCAAATATCTCCTTTCTGCAAACTAGTCTAGTTTCTATTCCCTCCAACCAGCCTTTCAAATTTCTTGGATGTTGGTTTACCCTCAATAACAAACACTCTAAACAAATCAAGCTTATTCAGGAAGAGGCTCTCAATTTAGCTTATATAGCCAACACAAAAAAAATAACAGACAAACAAATAGTCTATGTTATCAATATAGTAATAATTTCTACAATTGAATACAGAATCCACAACATTATCTACATGCCTCAAAATCTTGGGAAAATACCTTACTATTGCTAAGCACAAAGCCAATCTTTCTCAGTCTACACCCAATAGCACAATGCTAAACCACAATATTTATAATATTCATAATATCTGGGATGTACAACTTCAGCACCATACAAGTAACTTTCTCTACAGGATTAACAACAGCTCTACACTAGGAACCACCACTCATATAAGATTACAACAGCTACAAAACAATCTCTGGTTAACTACTAATCTTCTTCAACATCACCAGCCCATTATTGATGGATCTAACAGATATACTACTACTTGTAAGCTTATTTTACTTCTACAACAATCTGGCATTAGCATCATGACCAACTCCAATATAGTATGGCCACAAACAATTCAAGATAGCAACTCATCACTTGAGCCCATACTGTTC